AAAAGAACCTGAAGTTTATCAAGAAGTCAATGAAGAAGATGAATGGGAAGATGCAGAATATAGGAATTCTAGAATTACAAAGAGACCATCAATTCAAACTAAAAAACCATTCAATTCAAACACATTTGAAACATCTAGTAGTCATGATAATTTAACTGGTTGGGATGAATTCTTTGCAACTGCTAATACTGAAGGTTGGACAATTTATGGAATCAATCCACTTAGAATTATTCAAAAACATAGTTTGTATTAAACTTTTATTTTAAAAAATCCAACTTCAAACTGATCGTTTCAAAACCGTTTTGTTTCTCTATATTGAATGATTTTGAGTATAGTGATTCCTAATGCATCATTAAAGATCGTTTTACCCATTCATCGAAGTAATATCATCTTTTTAGTTGGAGGACCACCTAGTCCACTTTATTCTCCAAATAAAGTGATCATTTATGATCTTTCAATCTCAAAAGCTATCTCATCAATCGAATTTTCATCTCAAGTTCTTGGTCTAACCGCAAGACGTGATATTTTAATAGTCGTCTTACTGAATCGATTAATCTTATTTAATCTTTATCATCAAAATCAAACAATCGTAGAAGAAGAAGGTGAATGGGATACATGTGATAATCCTCGTGGTTTGGTTTGTTTATCAACAGAGATTGGTAGCACTCTATTAGTTTTTCCAGGTAGACAAAGTGGTCAAGTTCAAATTGTTCAATTACCTGCCTTTGATCCGAATTTAAATTCAAGGCCAATTCCAAGAACAATGAAGATCACATCTGAAATCCGAAAAGATCCTTACCCATCTACTTCTATTCTAGTCGCTCATACTACTCCTTTGGCTGCATTAGCTATCACACCTAATGGTCATCTGATCGCAACTGCTTCAGTAACAGGTACATTGATTAGGATTTGGGATTCCAAAAGTAGTAAACTATTGAGAGAATTAAGACGTGGGACTGATGGTGCATCAGTTTGGGGATTGAGATTCAAACCTGATGGATCAGCTATTTGTGCTAGTAGCGATAAAGGGACTATACATCTTTGGAATTTGACTAATCCTACTCAAAGTTCAAACCATTCCAAACAATCTTCTATTGATCGATTGTATGTCATTTCGTTTCAAATCTTTCAATCGAATTATCTCATTTTCTTTTCTTTCTACTAATAGAGTTTTGATTTTCTGGATTTTCCTAGATCAACAACTCCACCATTAAATCCTGAATCGAAAAAACCATTACCATTAAAACTCATCAAACCATATTTACCTAAATATTTTCATTCGAAATGGTCCGATTCATATTACAGATTACCTAACATTAATCAAGGAACGAATTCGATGAGATCATTACCGAATTTATTTCAATTTACCAATTTAGAAGATGATGTAAGTTTGATTAGTTGGATCATTGAAAATCAAATTATTGTGATTACTAGATCAGGTGGTTGGTTTAGATTAAAATCAAAGATCGGTCAAGATGAATTAGAATGTTTAGAATTTCAAAACTTTGGTGATGATCATGATGAGTTAGATTGGAGTAGTGATGAAGATTGAAAGAAAATTAATAAAATCAAATTTTTTTCTTCTTCAAAAATGAACAAATGGTTTTTTGATTTTACATAAGTCAACCTGATTTTTTATATATTTTGATTTTGGTTATATGTATTTTTCTCTTTGATTTAAAATCTTGTTTTTTTTTATCTTTTTTTTCCATTGGATTTTTTAAAGATTGTATGAATTAAAGAATGTATAAATTTTAATTCAAGAAAGTAATTTAATATGATTAAAAAACCCATCTAAGAGGTTCTATCCGAACAATGTCAAAGGTCAAGAAATTAAAAGTGGTTTCAAATTGGGGTATACTATAAATATTTTAATGCAAGCTTGGGTGTCCAGAGAGGCACTCGGGATTTATTAGCCAGTGTTGGTGTGTCAGTAGGGGGTTTGATATTTGAGTTTGGCTGGGAGGATTTTTAAAACCACAAAAACTCCTATGGACCCCTGTACCCATTCCATCTGGAGCTCCTAGTGACCATTGACTTTGATTCTGTCTATTCAGTTTTGTTGTCTGCCATGATGAGCTGTCTCAAGCAAAAGAGAAATATTTCAAAATTTGAAATTTGGTTGCAGGCAGAAACTCTATCTGTGAAACAAAATTTAGACATGACTTCTCCTCTTTTGCTTACAAGAAGACTTAGAATGGCTCAATGAACTTTATTCAAAAATCAAAGTGGTTCATCTCCTTGATCTGAGCATTTCTCTCTCCTCAGAATCAGTTTGGTGTGCTAACTACAGAAGATGTGAGACTGTAGAGGAGCAGGACTTTCCACGCCTCTTCTCACTCACCAAAAGTAACTGATAAATTGCAAGTGCCTCTCCAGGGTATCAAGCTTACAAGGTCAAACACCCCAAAGTGCCCTGCAAGAATTGAGACTTGTGTTAAGTTAGAAAAAAACTGGGTTTCTGCTGCATCATGAATTTTGGTTTTTTGACATCCTTTCATAAAACAAAAATATCACATAGATTAAAACCCATTGAAAAAATCCATCAGCAAAACCCAATGAAAACTTGTGTGAATTCACGTTTTTTGTGTGTGTATTTTATTTGATTTGGTGGAGAGTGACTAAAATCAGGCAGGTTTCCATAAATTCTTTTGGACAAGTTTTAATGTATGTGTACCCCTGTAATCTATTCAAACAAAAACAGACTTGACTTTAACAAAGAAAAAAAAACTTCAAGAAATCAATGCTTTGGACAAAAGATGAAGTTGAGAAAATTGTTGATAAAAATATTTGCGTCAAGCAAAGTTTTCTTGAAAAAAAAAATGAAATACAAAGAAATTAAATAAAATTGTAATCAGATATATGACTCTTTTGAAAGTCAATATTGATCAATGAAAGAATTGAAATCTGATCAAGTATTGATCATATTGTTATAATTCTGTTTTTTATATTCAGTTGAAGTTGATGTTTTGGTTCCAGTTTTGTTTAATTTCTGAAATTGAGTTGAGCTTTGAATTATGCTTTGATCAACTTGATCATGAGGTTGATGATGAGTAGAATTAAAAATATCAAAATTAAAGAATCTTAATTCTTGTTTTGTTAATTGATCAACAGTAAGTAATTCAAGTTTAGGAAATGATGGAAACGTAGCATTCTCTCCACCTAAGTGATCAATTTCAATCTACGTACGTAAATTGAGAAGAATTTCAGTTTTTTTTTCAAAATGCGCAAACAAAAGAGGTTGAGATGAATGAGGGAACTGAAACTTACTACTGTAGTTGCAACAGCCTTTGAAAATGGAAGACCATCACCTTTCATACCAAGTACAGTACCACATCCTCTAAATGTTAACTTATTACTATCCAATCAAATCAAAAAAAATCATGAATCATCAACAATCTAATCATCATTGCATGTGTTTTTCAGATCGTTGAGAGATAAAAAGGAAAGAATTTCATTCAAATCTCACGTATCAAATCTCAAGTAACCTAAAAAAGTATTATCATGTAAATCTTTAATTTGACCATTCAATCGACCAGCCGTGATTCTACAAAGTTTAAGTGATTTGATTTCTTCATCTATGAGTTCATAACCCATATGAATCCTTTCAATGATGTTTAAAATTTGATCAGGAAACGTTAAAACTCCTGGATGATGAATCTTTTTGATTAAAGTAAAAACGGTTGAAGGTGTGGCTGAAATGTTAGGATGAATTTGAAATTGATTTAAAATCTCCGAAGTTGGTCTTATATTTGATTTTTGGTATGAACCAAAGATTAAACTATTTATTATAATCGTTAGAAGGCTTCGATTGATGATCATTTTATTTAACTTTTTTTAAATTGTCTAGCAATTGGCGGCGCAATTAAGGTTTAAAAAAAGTATCCAAGGATTGAGGTGAAAAAAGAAAGAAAGTTTGATGAGAAAAGAGTCGATCAAATGGATTAGTATAAAACTTTAAAAATAAGAATCAGGAACTAAAGTAATCATATTCTTTGATTTCAGTTAATCAGTCTTCTTTAAAGTCTTGATTCTCAATTTCTTTCGGTAAAATAAAAGCCACCCGTAGTTAAAAAAAATGGTAACAAGAATTGACAACTTTCTTTAAACTTCTACTCGTCTCCTTGGATTCCTCTCATCTTTGATGTACTGCTTTTGTTGTTTTTGTTGTTAAACAATCACCTCGTGTTCTTTTGATTTTGAATATCAATCACTTGTGGTCAGTCTCATGTAAAAGAAAGGAAAATTTAAAATTCCAAATTACACAACGAAGGCTTCCCCAGGCGAACAATGACCCAAACGCCACATTCTGTCGTATCGACCTGTACCTCCGAAGGTGGCTTTGATTACACACTGTACACTTGAAGACGCTTCACTCTTCTCACTCCTAAAGCTGAGACTTAAAATTGAAAGACGTCCCATAGTTAAATATCAAGGATCTTACATACTAGAAGATCAGGCCCACGAGTAAAGGAGGGAGATGGAAAGATGTCATCAAAGTGTAAGATGTTCATAATCAAAAGAACATGTTGATCATAAAAGAGAAGTAAACACGAAAAAGAAATGAACAAACGAACCGAAATGTTGGGTGGATTATGATAAATATGTAGCTTGTGATAACATCAAAATCTATCACTTCGATACCAGAGCTCTTGAGCAAATTTCACCTTACACTACGTTTTCCCATCTCGAAGGATCCCCTTTTGTTCTCTCATCTATATTCTGCCCAGCGATGTTTTCTTTGTCCCTGCTCCCCTTCCTACTCCAAAAGTTTGATCGAGGTTTGCCGGCAAAACATCCAGCAATTCGAGGTGACATTACATAACCTTTTTGCAATTGACTGTACAAATTTGAATACCCATCACAGCTGGTATAGGTTTCGTACAGGCTGTCACATTTGCCCATTTCCAACCCTCACTCGAATGCGCCCCCTCCAACCCATCCTCAAAGCCACGCTGAGTTAAGCAGATCGCTTGGAAGGCAGAACAAAAGGTACGTGCTCCCAACAGCCGGGTTCGAACCAGCGACCCTGAGATGAGGGTAAACACCGTCTGGCGAAGAGATGATGATGAGTTTGATCCATTACAGTCTCATGCTCTTCCAACTGAGCTATGTCGGGGCTTGCAGGAGGGGTTGTGTATTGTATGGGTAAAATTATGAGATGAATTCTAAGTTGAAGACTGAATGAAGTGGATATGAAGAAAGCGAAGAAATCTGGCCAAATATCGATCTTAGAATGAGAAGAGAATGATGGAGAGTGAAATTGAAAGTTGCAAATTGAGTTGATGAAGAGATATGTAAAGCTATGTAAGTGGGCTGTCACAGATCATGATATGTAATGAGTATTTGAATTCTGTCTGTCACAGTACTGTCAGCTTTTCATTAGGTTTCACTCTGGTGTGATAGTTAATTTGAGTTCTTTCATCGGATTTAATCAAATTCAGATCATCTTCTTGACCATTTACGTATTCTCACTCATCATTCCATCTCAACCCTTCAATCTCATCCAACAGCGCCGCCTACGCTGGGAAGTAGTCAATCAAACTACTCCGGAAAACGGCAACTTAAATCAATCAACCAGACCCAGATCACTTCATTCTATCGATCCAAAGAGAACCCTAAGGAAAGATTGGTAATGGTTTCAGAAATCAGAAAAGATCATCATCATGAACCCATTCAGAGTAATCCCAATCTTTCTTTCTTATCATCTCATTCCATATCTAACATTCATTTGATCTTGTCTTTTTTCCTTGGTTTAAATCAGTCTCTTACCCAGATCCACCTCCATCAACACCTTTTTCACATTTAATCCCAAATCAAACTATAGCAGTAGTTTCAGAATTCCAACTCATCTCTGGTATCATTCTAAAAGATGTTCCAGTAGCATACCAAACTTGGGGAAAATTAAATCAAGCCAAATCAAATTGTATGATCATCTGTCATGCATTGACAGGTTCAGCTGATGTAGAAGATTGGTGGGGACCTCTCATGGGTCCTGGCTTACTCTTCGATCCCACTCGTTACTTTATCTTTTGTGCAAACGTATTGGGATCTCCTTATGGAACTGCTTCTCCTGTGACCATCAATCCGAACACTGGATTACGCTGGGGTCCTGAATTCCCTTCAACTTCTCCACGTGATGATGTTCAACTTCAAAAATTGATACTAGATCACTTGGGTGTTGAATCTATTGCAGTCGTCATAGGTGGTAGTATGGGAGGTATGCAATGTCTCGAATGGCCATTGATGACTCCAAAAGGTTATGTTCGTAATATAGTACCTATTGCTACTTGTGCTCGTCATTCAGCTTGGGGGATCAGTTGGGGAGAAGCTCAAAGACAATCGATTTATTCTGATCCGAAATATCAAGATGGGTATTATGATCAAAAGGATGGTCCAATCACCGGTTTGGCTGCTGCTCGAATGGCTGCACTTCTGACTTATAGATCTAGAGATAGTTTTGAAACTAGATTCGGTCGTCGTCAAATCAATCCGACTCAGACTTTGTCGAATGAAGAATCTGATGATCAATTGAAATTAGCTACTCTTAAAGCTGTTGCAGCTCATAATGATGGACATCGATTACAATCTCAAACCAAACTTTCAAAAACAAACCATTCAAATCCAAAGGTTTCAAACCCATCATCTTGTACATTCTCTGCCCAATCATACTTAAGATATCAGGGTAACAAATTCGTTAATCGATTTGATGCGAACTGTTATATTCATTTAACTCGAAAGATGGACACACATGATGTAGATTTTGGTAGAGAGAACTTAATTGAACATACCGGTGGATTAGAACAGATGCCTGAAGGCACTTTGGTTGTGGCAATCGATTCGGATGGATTGTTCATGTTGAGTGAACAACGAGAGATGGTGGAGTGTATGCCTAAGGCTAGATTAGTGGTTGTGGAAAGTAAAGATGGTCATGATGGGTTTTTACTTGGTGAGTTGGACTTTCATTTTCGAAGAGAAGTGTGTTTGATTTTTTTTTTCGAAATTGATGAAGTTTTTTGGTTTTGTTTTTAGAATTTGAACAAATCAATCGACATGTACTTTCACATTTACATGAAAGATTAAAAGAGATTTATGAAGAAAAGGTGAATGAAGTTGATCAACTCAATCAATCGATGATTAAAAAAGAAAGTTTGTTTGGGGAGATTGAAGAACCTATCACGGATTGGTAAAATTTTAAACACTCATATGTCTCTTTTTCTTTAAAACAAATTTCTTTCTATTTTTTTATGAAATTAAAGAACTATAAAGAAATCAATACACAAGGAATGTTTTTTGTTTTCTCGAAATGTGTTGAAAGAATTGAATATATCTATTTTTAAAATTCAAGGATATGATCTTTTTATAACTCGATTCATACATAGAAGAAAAATTTAAAAAACAAATGTGTTGTTAGGTTTTGAATTCCTTTGAAATCTCATTCTTGATTATCTTTGTCCTGCTGACTTAAAAAGATCACTTTCACATGATGATCTACAAGTCATGAACAACTCAGAATCTTTACCTTGTTTGAGGTAATCAAAAATCTCATCATTAGTATTACTTCAAATGATTTGTTCATCCATCTTTTTGAGAAAAAAGTGATATAAGGGTTGAATAAGATGATCCTTATCTTTTATTGAATTGAGTCAATTTAACCAAGACCTAAAATCTTGTTTTCAATCCTGAATGTTATCCTACAAAACTCAACCTTTTAAACCTTCAAGATCAATTTCAAGACCACTGATCCTAATTGATTTTCATACATATTCTTTTTTTAAAAGGATTTAAACTCCAAGTTTGTTTTTTGATATTTTTTTTCATGAGTCAATCCAATTTTCTCACTCAAAGATTACATTTGGAAGATTAATAAAAGAATGTTTCAGGTTCATGTTTGAGAAGAGTTATAGATGAGTAAATCTTAGGCTTAGGTTTCTAAAACTTCTTTCAAATGCTCAAATTGTTGAGTTTTGAGCAAGAACATTGGGTTTGGGGTATTTGTGGTATCCGTCTGAAATTTGAACGGCCCTGCCACTGTCACCATACAAATAGGAACAGAAAGTTTGTGTCACCCTTGAGACCAGCCTGATCACTACTTGGGCCAATCATAGCCTAAAGAGTGACATGAACTTTCCATTCTGACTTCTACACATGAAGTGTTTTCTTCAATATGGGAGACATGTAAAGATAAAAGGAGCATTGTAGATCATCTTGAAAGTGCCTTTTGCCAGAGACAGAAAATTTGTATGAATTGAATTCCAAAAGATGAGTAGGAATTTTATTTTGCTTTTACAGTCAATCCAGAAAAATCTTTACCAATCTTACCTAGAAAACTTGATTGAATCAGTGTGAAGTTTGTGGTAAAGTTTTTCCAAATCTGATCTATGAGTCAAATATAATGAAGAAAGTGGAGAAAAGAAAGGAAGGAGTTAGCACAAATATGTAAAAACAATAAAGTAAACATAGAAAATGATACATACTTAAATTGATGATCAAACTCAGGATTAAAATCAAGGAAGACAAGAGCTAACCAAGAATTTCAAGATGGGAGTGCAGAGAAAAGTGAATGTATGGTGTTAGGCTACGTTTGGTAGCGTGTAACCAAAAAAAACTCCTTTTGACCTCCGGTCCATCCCCCCGGGGCAAAGGAGTTTTTTTTGAAAATGGAGTTCTTTTAAAAAAAACTCCGTTGTAAGTACGTTTGTAATTTACACGTTTGGTTGAAATTTCAACCAAACTTCGTTTATCATTTTTTCGCCAAACTCCTTGTTTACCACACGGCGACTTTTTTTAACGTCACATCCACCGTTTCCGTTCGATTTCACCACCAATGGCTGATATCGACTCGGATTCCTCAATGGATTTCCACCCTGAATGGCTGTCCTCGTCTGATCAGGACAGTGATGATGATATCGTACTGTCAGTCGGTACATTTCAACTCTTCACTCATCTCACCACCAATCCTTCTTCTCTGCCCTACTCGTCTTCTCTTTTCTAGAGTTCTTTTGTTTTCTGTTTATTCATTCAGTCACCATGACACACTTCAATCACTCTCTTTGCCACTCGTCTCAAATCACGATCAGATCTGTAACTCTTTTCTTGCTCAAATCAACTTTCTATCCCGTGGTTTTTGAGTCTTTGAGATTTGAGAGTGATGACGAAGTAGAACAGCAGTAAGTTGAGATGAAACTAATTTTGAGAAAGAAAAATTGGAGACAAAAATAATTTTGAAAAAAAAAAGAGATGAATGAAAATCTGAAGAGTGGAAAGATTTTGAGACGAAAGTTTGATAAGTTCAAAAGGGAGTTTATGGGGAAATAAACTCCCTTTTTGCGTTTATGATAAACGCCGTTTTAAACTCCTTTTCGGTCGGGAAAGGAGTTTTTTTTTGGGTACTGTAAACGCTGCCAAACAACGTTTTTAGAACGGCGTTTTTTTTGAATTTCAAAGGAGTTTTTGAAAAAAAAACGCCAAAAAAAACGCTACCAAACGTAGCCTTAGTTGACTCAAAAAAGAACAATAGAAGAGGTAGAAAGATCTTAGGCATGGAAAAGGTTCAAAAATCAAATTTTAAAATCCAAAGAGTGTTCAACATTAATTTAAGAGGGGGTGGGATCAAAATTGAGATTGATAAATTGATTGGACCAAAGAGATAGTATGAGAAAAGAATAGAAATCACCTACATATATTGAAAAAAAACTAAACAAAAACCACAGCAGAAGCAGAGAATGAAGCCAAGTGCAATCAGAGTTGTTTGGTGTGAGAAAAGGATGGTGGCGGCAAATGTGCATGGGATGGGCAGTGATAGGGTGAATTCTAATGGATAAAAAGGACAGGTGGTCTTGAGGGAGTTTTTCTTCTTTTCCTTCTTCATGGGATTCTTATTCTATCCTTTCATCTATCTTTTGAATTGTGAAGATTATGTTTGTTATTTAAATATGTCTGTGTTTTTCTTTTCTTTTTTCTTTTCTTTGAGTGTTGAAGTGTGTTCTCATATTATAAAAGTGTTCAAGTCTTACTGTCTTAGTTTCTCATTTCAAGTGTTTTGAATCAATCATTGTTCTTGTGATTGTGGCAAGGTGTGAACTCATCATTATCAAGTGTGATTTCTCAAATTGTGGC